TGTGTGTGTGTGAGTGTGTGTGTGAGAGAGAGAGTGTGTGTGTGCACGTGTGTGTGTGTGTGTGTGCGTGCGTGCGTGTGTGTGTGAGTGTGTGTGTGCGTGTGTGTGTGTGCGTGCATGCGTGCGTGTGTGAGAGAGAGTGTGCGTGCGTGCGTGTATGTGTGTGTTTTTTGTGACATGAGGACACAAATTTGTATAATGACAAAGGTATAACATAGGTATTACAAGGAGAAGGTGACTTATGAGGACATTACCCCATGTCCCCATTTTTCAAAACGCTTATAAATAATACAGAGTGTTTTTTTTTAGAAAGTAAAAATGCACAAAGTCTCCTGTGAGGGGTAGGTTTAGGGGTAGGGTTGGTGTAGGGCAATAGCACATACAGCTTGTACAGTATAAAAACCATTACGCCTATGGAATGTCCCCACAATTCACAAAAACAAACGTGTGTGTTTTTGTCTGTGTGTGTGTGTGTGTGTGTGTGTGTGTGTGTGTATGTGTGTGTGTGAGATTATGTCTGTTTTTGTGAGTGTGTGTGTGTGTGTGTGTGTTTGTGTGTCTGTTATTGTCTGTGTGTGTGTGTCTGTGTGTGTGCATAATCCTATAGTGTGACACTATGAAGCGTCTGTGAAGGCCTGACGTTTATGTGTGTGTGTGTGTTCTTCAGCATATGTGCTAACAGTGAGTCAGGCTGGCATCCATCTGTTGAGTCAATGATGAAGGAAAGCAGTCTCTGTGTGTTTTCTGGTTTAGTTCTCGCTGCTGTGAGTCTGTTGGACTCTAGTGCTGGTGAAGCGCATGTGGTTTCCTGTTTTCTGCACGTAGTGTTTCATCTCCTTATTTCTCGCAGAGACAGTAACGTTTGCTCTTGCTATCGCACACAACTGTATTACTCTGACATTATAAGTGACGTCCGAGTGCTCGTGTGATAGAATCAGTGCAGAAACACACACACGGAGTGTCTGAGCATGCGCTGAAAATCTGATATTCGAAACCACATTTACAACTGGAAATAAACAGAGTGTTTATCGGTTTTTATCGTGTGTGTGTGTGTGTGTGTGTGTGTGTGTATATATATATATATATATATATATACACACACACTGTATTGCATATTGTAATGAAAACAATTAACAAGAAATGCATAAAAGCACTAGTTTCACTTTTGGTCTCAGACGTTTGGAGCCCATGTTACATTAAGGGTCATTTAGCATCCTGCTTTATAGTGAGGATTATCAGTAAATCCACACACACACACACACACACACACACACACACTCTCTCTCTCTCTCTCTCTCTCTCTCTCTCTCTCTCACACACACACACACACACTGAATGTTTGAGTTAAAAGCCTTTCTGTCTTGCTAGCGTACAGCATGCGGTCTCTCAGTCCATCAGCCATCAGTTCACACACACACACACCTCAGATGTCAGCACCGCATTAATACACACATTAGCATCAGCTGTGGGAACTGGTGGAAGTGATGTAATGTTTGAACACTCGACGGAAGCTCAGTGAGTTTGAGCAGTTCTTGTTGAGTGAAGATGGACTAGATAATGGATTCTTGCTGATTATAGGTCTATTGTTGCAAATCAGTTTTAGACTTTAGATTTTAGGCTAATATTTCAATGTAATATAAAGATTTCAGCATTTATTGACATTGTTTTATTTTTTTTATTACTTAATTATTAGCTTTTCACCTCTTTTCACTGTTTGCAACTCACAAACCCCAGTTTCATGCAGTTTACAATGACAATATGATTTGATTAATTCTCAAGCGAAGTGTTTGTTAATCCTTGTGTCAGTTTTAATATCTACCAACAATCTTGTTAATAGATAAACAATTGCTTTTTCCACATTTGAGTGAATTTTAAGTAAAAACTGCATTCATTTCCGTGGTTTTTTATGAGCTGCATTTCATATCCGGTCAATTAAACTGTATTATTAAAGAAATAGTTCAGCCAAAAATGAAAATTTGCTGTAAATGTTCTCACCCTCAGTTCATCAGAGATTGCCATCAGTTTGTTTCTTCATCAGGTTTGTAGAAATGTAGCATTGCATCAGTGTCTCAGCAATGGATGCTCTGCAGTGAATGGGTGCCGTCAGAATGAGAGTCCAAACAGCTGATAAAAACATCACAATAATCCACAAGTAATCCACAGCACTCCAGTCCATCAGTTAACATCTGGAGAAGACAAAAGCTGAAACAAATCCGGCATTAAGATGTTTTTATCTAAAATCCATAGAGTCCATAATCCATAATAACTCTTCCTTCAGTGAAAAAGTGCATCTGCTGTTGTCTCTCACATCAAAATCCAGCCACATATGTGTTTAGAGCTGTTTAAACGCTGCTTGATCTGTGCAGATTTCTCTCCTGATTCACACCAGAACACTGACTCACTGCAGGAAGAGTTATTATGGATTATAGACTCGTATTTTAGACATTAAAAGCGTCTTAATGCTGGATTAGTTTCAGCTTTGGTCTTCTCCAGACGTTAACTGATGGACTGGAGTGCTGTGGATTATTGTGATGTTTTTATCAGCTGTTTAGACTCTTATTCTGACGGCACCCATTCACTGCAGAGCAGTGATGCAATGCTACATTTCTGTGTAACAAGCCTTTCTGTTTCAGATCATGGCACTTGTGTTGTCGCTCTGCGCATTCGTCCTCTCGTCTCGCTCCAGTGGTGTCTGTGTCCAGCTTTCACCCTCCGTGTGTCTCTGAGAGGAACCATGCTGTCGGGAAGCTGGCGCCGTGGAACCGTCATCTCGTCCGCGAGCGGCCCGGGTGCGTTTAAAGGCGGGTCGAGGTCCAGGCTGAGCAGTACTGTGGTTCTGGAGGCTCAGTATGATTACTCGTACCGCGCCGTCGACGGCCGTCTGGTCTCCATACACGAGGGCGAGCGCTTTCTGCTGCTGAAGAAGACCAATGCTGACTGGTGGCAGGCGCGGAGGATCGGGGTCGGCGCGAAGGTCAAACCCATTTATGTGCCGGCGACGTACGTCATTGAGCTGCCTATCAGCCAATCAGCATCAGAGAGCTTCAAGATGATTCCACGAGGTTCCCTCACACACTGCATGCAAACGCACGGCTCAGGTAGATCTACTGTAGTGTCTTTTAGAAATTCACTACCATTCAAGTTTGGGGTCGGTACTGTATCACTGAGGATGCATTTATTTGATCAGAAATACAGTAAAAACAGCGAAATATTATTAGAATGTAAAAGCTGTGAATATCTGTTAAACTGTGATTTATTTCTGTATTTTCAGCATCATTACTCCAGTCTTCAGTGTCACATGATCTTCAGAAATCAGTATAATATGCTGATTTGCTGCATTTTTTGATTATTATCAATGTTGGAAACATTAATGTTTTTGTGGAAACTGATACATTTTATTTTTCAGGATTCCGAGATGAATAGAAAGTTCAAAAGAACAGCATTTAGTTGAGATAGAAATCTTTTGTAACATTATAAATGTCTTTACTGTCACTTTTGATCAATTTAATGCGTCCTTGATGAATAAAAGCATTAATTTCTTTTAAAAAAAAAACGTATATCAGTCATACTGACCTCAAATCTTTAAATGGTAGTTATCTATATATTCATGCTTCGAGAACATAAATATTACATGTATACACAAAGTTCATCCAAAAATGATCAATTCTGTCATCGATCAGCAGCTTAAAAGTAGTTCATTTGACTAGGACTCGCAATTTATTAATTATTTTACTGCCAATATAAAGTTAAAATTATGACCTTAAAAAGAAAAAGAAAAAAACTTTTTTAAACTTAAAAAAATATATATATTTAATATTATATTATAAATATAAATATAAAATGTAAATAAGTATATTTAAATAAATTATAAATATATTTAATGATTTAAAATTAAATATCAGTGTGCAAATATTTACTATATAAATATTATTTAGAATATAAATAAATATAAAATATATTTAAATGTATAAATGTAATTGTAGAAATATAAACACAATTTTTTCCTTAAGCAATGTCATAAATATTGCAATTATTTTAATGTGCTACAGAAATAATAGTATTAGTTGGTAAGTTTGCTTCGTTTCTGTGAATAAGTTAAAACTTTCTCCAAAAAATGCGTCTGAAAGTACAAAAGAACATAAATTTTGAGCACATAAGGGAAGATGGCATAAAACGGTTATTCCATATATGTAGCAAGGTTTCACCAAATAAAGTGTAATGATATTAATAAAAACATTATTCTTTCACCAAACAATGTAGCTCCTCAGAAACAGTTGTGGTTGCTACAGACAAACGTAAACAAAGGTGTGTGTTACTTTGTAGCGTCATTTAGAACAGCTTCGAACGCGGCTCAGCCAATCAGAATCAAGCACCGGAACTCTCCGCTTTATAATAAAAGGTAGAGATCTTCAGAGAGTTTCATTTCTGGATGACCTGTCTCTTTAAGGTCTCTTTCAGTGTGTGTGTGTGTGTGTGTGTTCTGTGTGTCATGCATTAGTTTAACTCTATTGATTCTCAGTGTTTAATTTCTGCGTTTTAGAGTAATAAAGCACGGTGCAACGTGCTCTCAAACGCTCAGATACACACTCAGTGGAAAAAGTTCAAGGCTTCATTTCAACCGTTTCTCCTGCAGCATGGAGCAACGTTTGAGCTTCAAACGAATCGACTGGCTTTCATCTGCCTGTATAGTCTGTAACAGTCCTGAATAGTCATATAGATCAAGCTCCAGGAGTCAAACGTGGCTGATGTCAGAGAGAGAGACACCTGCTGTTTGTCTGAGGCATGACGTTCGTCCCGCTCTCGCCGCGTGGCCGTATGGCTTCACAGAGATGAGTTATATAATCCAGATCTACAGCATTCTCACCTCAGAAAACATCCCTCTGTTTACGCAGCATCTCCATGAGATTCACAGCACAGAAACGCACCCTAATCCATCAGTCGGAGCTTTTAAGTGCACTCAGCAAACCTTTTACATTCAGCTGTTTTATTGTTCAGTGGCTTCTACTGGTTTTTATTCCTTCTCTCTCTCTCTGTATTGTTCATATTGTTATGTCTGACTGTGTTTTAG